AAAAAAAAAAAAAAAAAAAAAAAAAAAAAAAAAAAAAAAAAAAAAAAAAAAAAAAAAAAAAATGAAACAATGCACAGATAATTAAAAAAAAACTGTACTTGGAAAGCATGTTCCAGTAATTATCTTAGAGAGAGTTACTGGATTGAGCAAACATGGAGAGAGACTGCATCAGCTGAAAAGCACACACAGTGTTCACACATAGGCCAGCACTCGGGACCAAGCATGCTCATCCTCAGTGCGGACCATGCTAGGAAGCTAAATCTGTCTTTTTCATAATTTTTTTTTTTGAAAACACATTTACAAGGAACCAATGGTGCAACTAGAAAGCACCCCCACCCCTGATTTCTAGCTACCATGTTGAGCAGAGATCACACCTAAAGTATCACATTACTATTTACACACACACACACACACACACACACACACACACACACACAAATCAAGTCACTTTTTCTCATCTTTGCATTACTTCCCATTGATGTGTTAAGTTTGTTTGAAACTCATTACATTGTCTTTAATACAAGTGGTAATATTAAAAAAAAAACAAAAACGAAATCACATAAATAGAGCTCCATAGCAATTAACCTACACCCGTTTTAAATGCCTGAGTCAAATGACCTACAATGAACTGACACTATTTATTTCTATCTTATAGACAAAGAAGTTTTACTTAAAACAATGGGCATCACTGAAAAATCCTGGCAGAAGTACATTCATGTGTCCTCTGAGGAACAGACACAGGATATCCCTAAGCAGCTCTGCAGATGGCACCTAATTCATGAATGAACTGGGCCAGTAACTTCAGACTCCTCATTGGGAAGTTACTAAAATCATTTACATCCTCAGAAAAGCTCAGGTACAGTATCCCCCTTTCAGTTGAATCAATTGTGTTTTGTCCACAGAACCTTGACAACATCTGAGGCAGACAGCGACAGTGCCTATAGCTCTCTGCAGGTCACCCTGAGGAAGGAGTCGTGGACAAAACCCAGCAGCCATGTATTCCTTTCCAAATCAGAAGCACACTTGGGCACCCATCTCAACCCAGAACAAACGCTGAAAAGAAAAAGACCAAACAGAAAACCAGAAGGGACACTGACCACATAGGAGTATTCTTTTCAAAGTAAATAGAGATTAAAAACCCTAGGATTATTAAGTATCAAACTGATAAGGAACAAATTCTACAAACTACAAAATAAAAAAAACCTTCATTGACAAAAATACGTAAACTCTGTTCCTATTTTTGGAAATTTATTTTTAAAAAAGGTAGAAGAAAATATCTGGAAAACCATTTTAATATATATATATATATATTAAAACAATAGCCAAGATAGGCATCCAACAGCAAGCTGAAGCTACAGAGAAAGTTCCAGAAATTATTCTTGTGGATATTTCCCCTCAAAAGAAAACCAATACTTGAAAATATTCAGCAGAGGATTTTTTAAACTATATAATTGTTTCTTGTCATGTGCGAATACTTTTCAATGATGCATGACTTTTGAAAACTTAATTGTATCTCGATATGAGATACCAGTTTTTCTTACTATAAGCATAAAACATAACTTTTTGTATGGATAATATACATACTTTTTAAGTACTTTGACTTAACAAGTTCACCATTTTTAAAATTAAAGAATACATTTATAAAAATTCATCTAAAACTAAAAGTATATTCTCTAGCAGTGTATAAATATAACGTGTTACCGTGTGATTGTAAAAACAACTCTGAAAGTGTCGCAACAAAGACCAACAACACCAAATGTACAGCAAATAATTTCATTTGTTTTTAATCTTTAAAAGCTCTAGAAAACCCTATTAAAGGTTTTAAAACTGATTGGTTTCAGGTGCAGCTAGCAGCATATTCATGATTTTGGTATGTTTCATACACACATATCACTTGATTTAAACTGAAAATGCAGATAAAATGACAATAAAAAGTTATTATCTAAAAAAGTGCAGAAAAATTCAAGTTTAAAGTTCAGTGCTCTTTATTTTGCAGAAACAAATAAACAAAATCCCCCAAGTTAAAATAAATCTTTGCCACAGGGAAAAAAAAATTACCTTTGGAGATAGCTTTACTAATGTCACATGCGAAATGCCTTGAGCAAAGCACAGATGATTCAAATACAGAACTTACGGTAAACTTGGAACAAATCCCCCCGTTCCTCAGCCGTCTCCCAGCATCCCCTTCATCCTAAAGGTATGTACACTTTCAGGCTTGTTTTCCGTACACGCAGATGTCTACCTGAACTAACTTGAACCGACAAGAAGTTCTAAGTAAATATTTCTTAAAGGAATATTCTGATGAAATTGCAGTCTACTTGCACAGAATGACAGATGTACACAGCAGTATTTTTCCATGAAAATCTCAAATCAAGAACAGGTTTTTAAAATCCATAATCGAGTTTTGGAAATACAGTACGACTGAAATGTGAGTGGGTGTTAAGGTGACGCCATATTTCAAACAGATAGAAAGATTTTGATGAAATGAAATACTTTGAATAACAGTATTCTAAGCAAACATGGACTGATTTTAGTTTGCAGAATGAAATGAATTGGGTGTGTGTGGTACATACAGAGAAATCTCTTCCTGTTAATAATGTTAACTGCAGAATGCTTGGATTTCAGAATCAAAGACATTTCAATGTGACCAGTGCTGAGGGCACAGAGCATACACACACAAACACACACACACACACACACACACACACACACACACACACACACGCTTTCATTTTCTGATTTTTTTATTTTGACCTTTTGTTATTGTTGCAGCTGTTGGATTTCCTGAAACTTTGGCTTGCTGGTGACTACTTCTTTTTGCATCAAAAAAGACAGGCGTGGGTTGGGGGAGGCAGGCCATCTCAGGCTGCAGTCAGTCCCCTGGGTCATACTGCAGACTATTTTATTTACAGAATCAAGCACAGCTTGGGAAGATCATTTTCTCTATTCAAAAATACTCTGTCCTCTCTAATCCTAGTCTCTTAGCTTGTTGTGCACAATATGTAGATTAATTTAAAAAAAAAAAAAGAAACCAGTGATTTCAAATGACACATAAAGATATTCTTATAAAATCCATCTCAGGTAAACACACCTACTTCTCTATTAATAAATAATTACAACTTTGATTTATCTTATTTACATCAGTTAAAATGACTATAGAAAGGAATCTGATACACAAATAATACAGCAACCCAAAGAGCTGAGACTCCACACAGAGTCAAGCAGTTTGCTAGTTACTCTAGTACTTTTCACCCTTTTAAAACTCTCGACTATTGATATTCATAAAACTATACCTTTTAAAAGGGACACAATTCTTCCTATGAGGTATCATGAGACATGGGTTTAGTGGACAATAGATAACGCAAATTAAGCAATTTGTAAACTGCCAAACGTTCGGAGCACGGACACGAAACAGAAATGTTATTCACTTTCTACAGATTGCGAAACTTTTAAAAATGATTATAGTTATAAAACATTTTTGTCTTGATCAATTCTCTACCACATATATTTAATTCTTACTTGATGCTATTTAAAATAAACTTTGATGTAAACTTTTATATCCAGTAGTGCACATTATAAAATGTAAACAAAAGATTTTATCAATGAAAGAGAAACAGGTGAATGAGAGGCTGGGAAACTGAAGATGTGTTACAGGGAACGTCACGCATCACATGGAATAGAAAACAAGCAGGCTTCCTATCAATTTGTGCTCTGCTTATTAAAGGACAATGACTCATTACAGACTTTGATAGAAGACAATATATAAATTTCATGCTCCCCCTTCACTTCTTCCTTTGTGGCTTTCACAATTATAGCCTCCGACTCTGTGTTAGAGACTGCTTTCTTTCTAGGCTGTAACGCTAGAGCAGGAACCAATCATTCAGGGCTTCTGACATTTAATACACATCTCTCTTTATTACAGAAAAAACTTAGTTACTGAAATGAACATATGTTCCTTTCCTTTTTTGCTTCTAGTATTTTGAAAGGATATATACAGATGTGTGATGTAGTTCTACAGGAGCTATTTTGTAGGTCATTAGACTAGACTCTTGGACAATTACTGACAAAAGATGCTTGTAGTCTTCCATGCGGCGGCATGTGCACTAAGATTTAACTGGCTCATCACCTGAGTGTACTGGAATTGTTAGCAAATAAAGGACATTTTAAAAGGGGAGCTGAGCATTTTACTGAAATGATGAAACATCGTTGTTTTAGCAATTTTAATTAAATAATGCAAGGGTACATCATTTGGTTAAACATTTTATAAAAAGTCAAGCAAAATTAAAAACTTAGCCAATTTCAACTTTTCTACAAATATAACCAGTAACTCTTTTGGTCAAATCTACCTTTAGCTGAATTAATGTGAACAAGGACAAAAGACATTGAAGAATTCTCCTCACCACAATGGAGGGTTTCTTACTTTTCACACCGCATGGCCACTACATGGAAACTCTCAGAAGATGAGCAATTCAGTCATGCGCTGCACTTTTCGATGATGAAAAGTGATATATCACCTTGTTTTGCTTTTGAAAAAATAGGAACTGAACACAAAGATAGAGTAACAAGAACTGAAGAGGATCCCATACACAAGCTATGTGTATCTTTGATTAGTTGGAGCCCACCATTCAGCACAGTCTAAAGAGAAGGGGACAATTTGCTGCTTTCACTAATGACACTGATGACCAGTGCCCGAGAGAGAGTGAGTCCAGACAGCTGGTCACAATTCAGTCCCAACACAAAGATGACCATGTCGGACTCAGAACTTCTCATTTATTGCCTCTCCCCACCTCGGATCAAACACTGATGGCAGATACAACGGCACAAAATCTTTTGGCATGTGAAAGTTTAATACAGGAATGATCCAAGGAACAGCCCACCAGGACTTCTCAACATCCCTTTGTGTTTTTCATCCGTCAACGTGACCCCGCTAAGTTCTCTGTCTGTCAACTCACAGCCAGCACACACCATATGCTCCGGTTTGCACGTGGGTGAGTTCTCAGGTAAAGCCATGTGACTGAGGTAAAACAGTGCTTGATTGTGCTGGGATAGAACAGTCCTCAGCGGTGTACATCCCTTGTATGTTATCTTCCCCAAAGATACCAATGACATCAACAAGGACATTTCCTTCTCCTTCTGGCTGAAGTTGGTCTTAGTGGATTCTGGTTGTCAGAACTGGTACCACTTTTTATCTTTGTATTTCAGCATCATCTAAAGGAGGGGAAAAAAGAAAAATATGTTTTCAAAATTCCAAAAAACTATTTATAATTGGTATCTATAAAGCATACCACCCTAAAACATTCCAGTCTGGTATTACACTTCCATTTATTTAAAGTAGCAAGAATTATTCCACTTAGATGAAAAATGGCTATGTTCATTAAAAAAAAAAAAACTATCCTAGGAGATGCTCAAGTTTCTGATATGTATCATAGTTTCTTTTTAATGTGTAACATAGTTTGGTGACTCAGTGAATAACTTCAAAATAAGTCAATTGCCATGCCTCTAATTAGAACCGAAAGGATGAGGGAAAGGAAGGTGAAAAAAACTACCTCCATCTCAAATTTACTAAGCTCTTGCTGTGAGCTAAATAACACTTGACACACCTACCTTGATTTTAATTGATCTGCACAGTTCTGGGGGTTTGTATTATTTCCTCTTCATGTTCTAAATAAAAAATCTCATTTATAAAAAGGGCTTCCAGGTTTTACTCATGGTTAGCAGAATGGTGGGTTACTGGGGATCAGGCCAGGCAATCTGAATTCAAGAGCCCAGGAACGCACCTCAGTGCACTGTCCTCCTCAGACTCTCAAGTACATCTAAGAACAGCAGCTAGAGAAGAGAAGGACAACTGTGCTCCTTGTCAATCGATCGATCGGGACGTGCAGATACTATGAAAGGGACGCAAGTGCTTGTGTTGGGGCAACAAAACCCCTGCTCTACAGTGAGGGCTATTTGCTTCCATTGGAGGTGCTTTGGGGCACTCACGACTCCCTGGGATGCTCTAGACAGGCACCTTCCAGGTCGAGTCATGTCCATCATGCAACTTGAGCAAAGAAGAGATGGCTAGTGGTTGAACAACTAGAGGAATGCTAGCATTATAGAGACTTGGTGCTCTAAGATAAAAGTAACTTTGATACTGTTCACCTGGGCAAGAATCAAAGGCCAGTCAAGGAAGCAAAAATGAGACGTCACCAGCCCAGAGCATGAAGGAGTGGCACACATGCAAAAATAATAACATGTGCCTTACAGAAGGGCTTTTAAGGCCACAAGAACATTTTTTAAAATTTGTTTTTATTTCATATGCATGCGCTTTTGCCTGCATTTTTGTATATGTACCATCTCATATTGCAAGGAAGCCAGAGAAGGGCATCCGATTTTCTGGAACTGGAGTTACTGCGAGCTGCCATGTGGGTGCTAGGAAGCAAACACAGGTCCTCTGCAAGAGCAGCAAGCACTCTTACCTGATGAGCTATCTCTGAGGCCCACAAATCATTGTTTCATAAGGCCCTGTATCAGTCAACAAAATATGGTTGTGTGAGCATCATTTAGAGATGCCTATACTTTACAGAACCTGTTTCTCAGGTCAAAGAATTTACTAGAGCTGAACCACTACCTCTCTGAGGAGGAGGCCCAAATTACTCAGGGTCAGAGAATGTGAGCTTGCTTCACCCAGCAGGGCTGCATAAGGGGATGATTTGACTATGGGCGTGGTTACCAGGTGTTTGGAAGGGTCTACACTTGATTGTATGGTGTGCTTTGATCTTGCAAGGGTAAAGTCTTTTGCCTCTCCCCTTGGTATGTTATAAAAAGCCGTTTGAATAAATCGTCCAGGCCATTTTGCATTATTCCAGGCCCTTCTGAAGCTATCCTGTGTTTCTGTCTTTCTTCTTGTCAGCTAGGTCTCTCTTTCTATCTGATATTTTCTTATCCCTCTTTCCTCCACCTAAGAACCCTAGAATAGGTGGGAAAAGGTGGGAGCTGGACTCCCACGGTCTCCCACACATCTCCATATACATTAGTTTGCAAGACACGGCGACTTCAACATGCTAACTGATTTTTGTTATTTAGATCTACCTGGAAGAATCCAGGAGACAACGGAGTTCCTTCTTAGGTTAAGGTAGTTGCAGACTCTGGCGAGTTAAGGGAGTTTAGTATTTTTATTGAGGTCCCTGACAAACAGCCACAAAGCTTCTGCATTGCTTATGAAGGTCCAAAGGTGGGCACGTGCCTTCACAAGGCACAGATTTCAGGAAAGACCAGAAACCACTGCCATGTTCTCTTAATGGTTCCCTCCTGTGGAAAAGTCAGAACTTGCAATATCACAAAATACATGCTTGTAGAAGTAACAGCATATACACTACGTTGTCATTGTGACATTTGCTTTATCTAGTTCTTTGGGTGGCTGGCCGCACGTTAGGCATACCTCATGAGCATGTTTGGAAAACGAGTCTGCGCTGGATAACATAGCTGCAGTTCTCTCTTCCAGGTCGCCAAGCTTCTGCCCTCTCTCATCCAGGGCCAACCTGGCTCGGGCTAATTCACCCACCACTCCGGATGCTGCTCCTTTGACACCCTCGATCCCACCAGGACCCGGGATGTGCTGCGCAAGGCTCCTTGAGGCCCTTCCTGAGGAGGACTCGCCAACTGGAAGGTTTGAAGAACGGAGAAAAAGTTAGTAAAAGTCCTATCACATGGCAGCATTAAAATACAAGTTTTGGATCATGTGGTAATACAATTAGAAGATTAATATTTAACTTTATAACACACCTTTATTGTGCTGTTTTACATTTTTTCTCAATGCTTTTTCAAATATGCAAAACCACAGTGCACCATTATAAACACCCTATTCTCTCCTAGTTCACACAGCAGAAATCCGGGGAATCAGGGCTAGCTAGCCATTGCTGAGAGAAGTAGATACACTGATGCAGATTTTGTAACTAAAATTGCTTTTTGAGTTGTTAACATTATAGTTTAGGGATTTTAAGCTTTTAACTTTAAGCATAAAGATTTAAGTTTTAGCCAGGCAGTGGTGGCGCACGCCTTTAATCCCAGCACTTGGGAGGCAGAGCCAGGTGGATCTCTGTGAGTTCGAGGCCAGCCTGGGCTACCAAGTGAGCTCCAGGAAAGGCGCAAAGCTACGCAGAGAAACCCTGTCTCGAAAAACAAAACAAAACAAAACAAAACAAAAAAGATTTAAGTTTTAATTTTCACGTTTGATTTAGTGTTCTGATTCCACACTTATAAAAATACTATTTCCATTTTGGTCACCCAGATTTGTAGACATGTTTTCTTTGTCTCCACTAACGTTTCCCTTTTCAGATACATAAAATCACACTTTTTCCTTAAAGGGCTTGCTTGCCTCTTCCTTTCAGTACCCAAATTCTGACTAATTCCCAGATCACAGCAAGTCTAAGAGCAGACTCCGGTTATATGCCCTTGCACTTCCGCTCACATTTCTTTTCCTGAACTGTAAGGACCCTTCACACTGCCCAATCTCAGAACGTCTCCGTCCCTCACAAGGAAGCCCATGGTCTGTCACTATCACTTTCTACTCTTTCTGTCCTACTCAGGGTCACTGCCCTATTCTCTTTCTTTTCTTTTTTCCCCCTGGTTTTTCGAGAAAGGATTTCTCTGTAGAGTTTTGGATCCTGTCCTGGATCTCGCTCTGTAGACCAGGCTGTCCTCGAACTCACAGAGATCCTCCTGGCTCTGTCTCCTGAGTGCTGGGATTAAAGGCATGCACCACGGCTGCCCGGCTGTTCTATTTCTATATATTTGCCTATTATAAATACTCCATATAAATATATCCACACAGCCGTGGCCTCTCATGGCTAATGGATCCACACTGCCAGTAGCCTTTCATGGCTGACTTCTTTCCTTGAAGATAAGGTCCCAGTTTATCTGTGTAGCAACACACATCAGTATCATTTCTTCTTATGGCTGAATAGTGCATCATTTTATAAGTATACCACATTTTGCTGTGCTTCATTTAACCAATGGGCAGTTTCCACTTTTTTGTCTTATTATAAGTAATGCTCCCTTGGACATTTCTGAAAGTGTTTATGTAAACACCCATTTTCAGTTCCCTTGGACATGTATGTCCAGGAATGGAATGGCTGGGACATGGACTGGGACACCTGTTGAACTTTCTGAGGTCTAGGGGGCAGCTTTTTCGAGAGCATGCAGCATTTTCATTCAGCAACATGAGCTACAGCTTCTCTACACCCTACCAATGCTCATGTGTCCTCATCGCAGCTATCCTAGTTAACATGATGTGGTACATCACCATGGCTTCTGATACACATTGGTTCTTGAATGACCAATGATGTTGGACATCTTTTGATGATTTCTGATCAGGAATATTTCAAAAGAAATCCAAACCTTCTGCTCATTCAAAATTGGGCTACTTATTCTTTTATTACTGAATTATGAGTTCTTTGTATATTCCAGATAATAGATTTTTATCAGATACGATTTGTATACAGCTTGTCCTATTATTTGTGTAGTAGAATATTTTAAGGTGTGTTATTTTTGTTCATGTTGCATTTGTTTAACTCTGTGAAACTGTGTTACTGTGCCTGTGTAAAACACCTGATGGTTTAATAAAGAACTGGCCTATAGCAAGGAAGGAGAAAGGACAGGTGTAGCTGGCAGGCAGAGAGAATATATTGAGGGAGAAATCTGGAAAGAGTTCTAAGATCTAGCAGTCAGACGAGGAGGAGGACATCAGGGTCCAGCTACCCAGCTACCCAACCAGAAAGCCATGGAGTAAGAGTAAGACAGAAGTAAGAGAACAGGAAAGCCCAGAGGCAAAAGGTAGATGGGATCACTTAAGTTAAAGAAAGCTGACTAGAAACTAAGCCAAGCTAAGGCTGGACATTCATAGTTAAGAACAAGCCTCTGTGTGATTTATTTGGGAGCTGGGTGGCGGGCCCCCCAAAAGAGCCAAACAACAACCTACAATATATTAGAATTATCATCTTCTCTTCTTGCTATTTATTTTTTGAAACACAAAGTTTTCCCGTCGATGAACTACAATTTCCCTCTTTCATTCTCTGTTTGTGACTTAGGTGAAGTATTGGGGAACAAATGACTAACTGAGGTGACAAAGATTTATTTCAAGTTCTTCTAAGAGTTTTGTACTTTAACCCTCAAGTAGAAGTCCTTGATTCGTTTGACTTAATTTTCATGTTGCTGGTTTTTATTTACTTGAATATCTAGTTGTGTCAACATTATTTGCTGAAAGGTCCATTATTTCATCTTTGGATTGTCTTGGCATCCTTGGAGAAAATCATTGAGCATAAATGCTCTAGGCTTATTTTTGGACTCTCAATCATATTCTATTGCTTATGTCCATGCCAATATCAGATCATAGCTTTGTAGTAACTTTTGCCATGGAAATGTGTGTCCCCCTGGCCCTCTGCTTTTAGACTCTCTGCTTATGGAAGGGTCAGCCTCACCTCCTCCATTTCATAAATCTTACTATTATTTTGTGCAAAAAATCCAGTTTAGATTCTGATGGGATGATTTATATTGGTCTGAGGAGCAGCACTGATACATCAGCAGGATAAATAAAGTCTTTAAATCCAAGAACATGAGATGCTGTTCTGTTTACCTATTATTTTTTTTAAATAATATTCTCAAGTTTTAGTGAGAATGTCTTTCACTTCTTCAGTGAAATTATTTCTAAGTGGTTTATTTTATAAATCAAAACTCCACCAGACCTTCAAAGAAGAGCTAACACCATATAATGTACTCCCCTACGTACTCCATATAAGGTAAAGGGAAGAACTTCCCACGTCTGTCAAGAAGGCTACACTACCGCAACACCAAGACCACACCGAGATCTAATGATTTTTTTTTTTTATTTTTTGATGCGGAGATAAAAGGAACTGTTTCCTAAATTTCCCTTTTGGATTATTCATTGCTATCATATAAAAACACGGGTAACTTTTAGAGATTAATCATAGATCCTTTGACCTTGCCATCTTGCTTATCAGCTTTATCTATTTTTGGTTGGTTGCCTTAGGAACTTCCATAATTAAAATTATGTTATCTGCAAATACAGACAGTTTGACTTTTTCCACTCTGACTCCACTTTTCCTTTTCTTGTATAATTATCCTGGTTTATGCTTTAGGATAATCTGAAAAGAAGTGAAAGCCCTCTGAGCTTCATATAAATTTATCATTAGCCACATTGTTAGGGAAGGACTTAGATTAGAATGTCATGAAGTATGCGTGCACATATGTGCTGGCATTCACACATACATGCTGTTGTTCAGCAGTTTCCTTGAATTGAAGCATGTCCCTGGAAGGAGAGCGAGGCACATGAGACTTGGGAGGTAAACACACTTCATGTCTAGAAGCGCAGGAACTTGGGCGAGTCTCTAAGCCCTGTCTCCAGCTCTATAGGAATGAACACCTGCTGCAGAGTGGCATGGTCAGTTGAGCTGCCGAGAGAGACTCCAGGACTGTCCAGCTGTCTACAAGCTGTGTGAAGAGCTCTAGGCTGGCAGATCTTCTAGACATCACCTGTGTTGGGCTGTTCTGTGTTGCTGCTGCTTTTGAGTCATCCTTACTCCTGGAAGAAAGCCCTCACTGATAGGCCTAATTACTAGTAACCCCCAATAAAAATTAATTGATTCACCAAGTTGGACATTGGTATAATCATTACTTTGGTCTGTGGTGGGTTCCCTTTTTGGAATGAACACATATGTGCATGTCTTCCCAGGAAAAGTCCCTCACACCCATGTATCCATTCATCCATGCACCCACCCATCATCCATCACCTTGTATGTGGTAAGGCAAGCCCCTTTCTACTGAAATTAACACTCAACTCAATTTTTCTAAAAATAAACAACTACTGCAAGATAGAACAATGCCCCCCTCCTCAAGATGGCCGCACTTCAGTTTCTGAAAGGTAAGGATACAGCAGCCTATAATAGAAAGCGGGCTTCACACGTGATTAAGGTAAGGACCTTGGCCTGGGCTGGTTATCTTGCATCATCTAGGTGAGTGCAATAGGGAGGACCTCCAGAAGCTGAACAAAGCCAAGAAATACATTCTTACCCAGAGTCCCCAGTGAGGAGCAGAGTGCTGGTGGTGCCAGGATAAACCGTGCTTATTTCTAACAGACAAAACTGAAGCCTAGATGCCCAGTCAGCTGGGTTGTTTTAGGTCAACAGATTTGTAGAACAACAGCAGCGACAGAAAACCAATATAACTAATAATTGATAAAGACTTCATCTTAAAGTTTTGCATATTGATTTATCCAGCAACTCCGCTAATTTGTTACTTGTAAAGCTTTACCTACAGATTATTTTGACATTGACAAGGACAGCAGGACCTTGGTCACTCCTCACTCGCTACTTCCAGCTGCTATGAGACAACAAACATTGCTTCCACAGACTGTTCTCCCTCACCCAGCTGGAGGTTGGAAGTGTAAACCATGTAGAATCCTGCGGGGCTACAGCTTATAGTGGGAGCAGGCTTGTCCAGCATGTGAAAAGCCAACTTTTCCCCTTTATGTTGATTTCTCGATGTTATTTGATAAAAGGGACAGAACTGTAACACAGTCATCAAGTAATGGCAATCACAAAAATAAAACAATAATGATCACATTTAATGTAAATAAGAACATGTTTTCTAGATTACCAATTTAAAGTTGTAAACACCATTTTTTAGCTATTTAAAGTTATGCTAATTTGGTTCCCTGAGAATAATATTTTCCTGATTGAGAACAGAATGACAAAGTAATTTTATGCCTTTTGTTAAACCATGGATATATTAATTATTATGATAAATATGAAAAAGTAAGCATAGTTGATCCATGTAACAAAATATTTACATGGATTGAATGTTTTTGTCTTAAAGGAATATAAGTCCAATTAAACCAGCCAACTTACATAGTTCTTCTCTGTCGAGAGACTGTGCACCGCCCCCGAACAGGCCTTTAAAGAAGCCCCTGTTGGGTGCTTCTGGCGTTTCCACGGGAGTGAAGAGCTCACCCAGCATCTCCTTTCAAATAAAAACCAATTATACCGTTAAAGCTCTGGGGAAACAGACATTTAATTAACAAGGTCACCACTGTAAATGCTGTGATGTGGTGACAATCCCCTTGAGTATGACTCACCAACAATGCATAAGAAAATCACAAACGGTCAGAGCAGAAACACACTGACTTACTCTAACAGTAGGTTTCCAAGACCAATTGACTAAGAGGAATCTGCTGTTTTCTCCGCCCACCTATTATTTGTTAGCATTACAGCCAGGACAGTATGCCTGCCTAGAGGGTAAGGAGACGTAACTTGTGTCCAAGACTCTCTTGGTATGTATCCCAGGCTAGTCTGGAATATAAGATCTTTTTCTGAGTTCTGGGATTGCACTGCCATGCCAGTCAGTATTTGATTTTCAAGATAACATTTAAATCTAATTCAAGAAGAGCTGATACTTTTCCTGAAAACCAGTTTATCTTCTAATAGAACATTCTCTCCCAGCAGGCCGAGGCATTCAGTGTAGCAATGGCCATAGTTTCAGAATTATCATCTTGAGTGGAACCAGACAAACTGTCATTTAGATAGGTCAACTTCCTTTTTCATAAACATGTAGTTGCCATAAACATCATCTGACACGTGAAAATTCAGAAAACCACAGGAAGAGGGAAGAGCGGTTTTTACATGCCAGTCTTCCCTGAGCTTACTGTCAACATTCTCCAGACAGAAAAAGAGGAGAGCAGAATGGTAACCAACAGGGAGTGGCTAGGAGCCCAGAAAATGCTCCACTCACTCCCACCAAGACCAGAAACAAGACGTGGTGCCCGCCCTTTGCATTCCCACTCTCTACAGCGCTTGAGGTCTTTGTGAGAACATGGAGACAAGGAGATATAGGGATGTGGACAGAAAAGATGACATCCTTTATATACTTTAACACAAAGTTTGATTGGAAAATGGCTTTACCAACATTTTAATACAGTTATGGCTTGTCTTAATTTCTTATGTGGCTCTGTTTAGATCAGAAGTTTACACTTTGAAGTTATCAATTTGTGTTTTTAGAACAAAAAGATGCTTTTGGCCTGCAGCTAAGAAACCATTGCCTAACCCAAGGTGTCAAAAAATTTTTTTTTCCTTTCATTTCCTTTTAGAAGCTTTATAGTTTGGGAGCTAAAATGTAGCTCAATGATCTATTGTGACAGTTGCAGTAAACAAATTAAGTCTTAGACAAACATTACATGTCTTTTTTCCCATGTGCAGGTTCTAGATTTTATACTGATCTGTAAACTGTGTATGTACAGATGACACAAGGGCACAAAAAGTCAGGACTAATTAGGGGGCAGGCAGAGAAGAGAGAAGGCAAAGGGTGTGGGGTATGCCCCAAGTCTATTATATGCCTCCATGAAATCTATGCTATGCAACCCAGACAATAAAATAATGTGATAAAACATAAACCAAACAAAAAGGTTCTGTGCATTCCACGAGAAAAGGGGACACAGACAGCATGAGGGCCCTCAGAGAACCCTTAAGTTCTATAGAAATTCGAATACTTGTGTTGCTCACTTGAAGATTTTCACACGTCTCTTGACTGTAGGTGAGTCTCTGGATTTCTGTAGGTGAAACAAGGTATAACGCTTGTCCATTGTTGGTGAAGCAAAAAGTCCTGGCTATCCGCATGTTGGTAAGGGGCAAGTAGTAGGCGTCCAACAGAGGTCGTAAGCTTGGCAAACTTGAGGGAAAGCAAATATTTGTTAGTAATAGGCAGCAAGTTATTTATAGGGTGGGTACAAGGTACAATGACACTGTATGAAGACATGATGTGAAAACCACTACTCTGAAAGCTAGTCTAGAAAACTGATGAAAAATAAAAGAGAAAAATGGCTGGGGCTGTTAAATCATTTAGTTTTTATAGCCGAGGGAGGGAAAACAGGGTTTATATTGCTCATATCCTTGTTTACCATTACCTGGATGAAAATAAATTCTCAGTTGTGCTGATATATTGTATACCCTAATAAACTTGCCTGAGGATCAGAGAACACAGCCAGCCACTAGATTAGATATAGAAGTCAGGCAGTGGTGGCACACACCTTTAATCCCAGCACTTGAGATCTCATGCCTTTGCTTGGGAAGCACACATGCCTTTAATCCCAGGAAGTAATATGGCAGGGCACAGAAAGGTATATAAGGCGTGAGGAAACAGGAACTCACTTGCTTTAGGCTGAGGATTTCGTAGAGGTAAGAACTAGTGGCTGGCTGTTCTGCTTCTCTGATCTTTCAGCTTTCACCCTGATATCTGACTCTGGGTTTTTTATTAAAAGACCATCTAAGATTCGAACAACACTCAGTGTATAAGACTATGAACAACTCAGTATCTTTTTCAAGCTGAATTTGATTCTGTGATCCAAGCAGGAATGCTGTATGTGTTTAGAAATGACCTCATTCCTACCTGAAGGTCATAATGTGGCCATTGGCACAGAAGCAGGCGAGGCAGACACTGTTGCTCAGTGCTACAACGTCTCCACGAAGCACGAACGACGTCTCAGTAATGTTCTGCTTATACGCACAGTTCTGGGTTGGCAGTGAGATTACCTTTGCTTGCTTTTCAGAACATATCACTGCATACTGGTTTTCACTAATTTCCTGAGAAGAGGAGGGGGAGACTGAGACAGGTCGCCGCTTTTTCAATTTCTCCTTTTCGTCTTTTTCTTCGGGAACGATGTGCTCTTTCCAGGGTTCGTATGCAGGTGGCATTAAGCAGCCCGTGGCATCCAGAAATGCCATTCTCAAGATTGCACCTTTTAACCTCAATATAGTACCTAGAACGTAGAAGTTTAGTATACACTTCCATTTTTAAATTCAGCGCAAATATGTTTATTCCAACTCTGACACTAAATATACACAAATATGTTGAATGCACACTACACTGAATATGTAATTGTATGAGGTCACTGATAAAATCCCAAACTCAAGCCATGTTATTTATGAGTCTGGAAAAATATGTCATCAATGCATGCTCCAAACACAAATGTCAACAGTTAAGAATTTATAAGTTAATTAAAATAATGAATTTGGCACACACACACCTGACCGGCAGATGAATAAATCAATGATATGCTGTTTCCTTTAAATGCAGAACTAGAAAGTTTATTTTACTTTAAGAAAATTAAAACTAATTTGTGTGCACAGGCACCTGTGGAAGTGAGGGGCCGACTTGGGGAGTTGGGTCTCTCCTTCCCCCTGTTTCTGGGGCAGAGCTCCCTTTGCTCTGTGCTGTGCAGTCCAGGCTGGCTGGCCTGAGAGCCGTGGGCCAGTCTCTCTGTCTTACCCTGACATGGGAGTGCTGGGTTTACAGAGGCGCCCCGCCTGCTTTGGCCTATTCATGTGAGTTCTGGGGGAACCGAACTCAACTCAGTAGGCTTGGGTAGCAGATGATTTTACTTGCTGAGCCTTCTCCATAGCCCTAAGAAAATGTGCTTCTTAAAACACAAAACTGCCACTAATACCGTTTGTCTTCACAGTGCTTGGATCAGTAACCGCTAATTAAGCCAGAGCATGTCCCCCATGCAGCAGCAGGGCATACGCACCACTTGGAGACACAATCACGGGCTGAAGGAGTCTTTGCTCGGGCCCTGGGGGAAGGTTCAGTGTGATGATGAACACTGTTCCCAGCGTCGTTCCCACCCACAGACAGGGGGAGGGGGAGGAGTCGGCCTTGCGAGTAAAAGTTTCACAGAAATGAAGAGCAGAGATAGCTTCTCGGGATTCCTTGTCAATGCTGGTTACACTTGAACTCCGCGATCTGCTGAAGGAATTATCTTTTACATCTGAAATGATTTAAAATGCAGGATTGCTTTAGTTACAGCATATTACATTCTGTTGTTTTTGTTACAAATTTGGTCAAGTAAATTTTAAATTTACCCCCATGCAAAAATCTATGGCATATGTCCTTTTAGGTGAAAAGAAAAACGATTTACTTTTATGTTAATAAAACTTCCTGTTTGCTCAAATGTCAAATGCAAATAAATAGGTTTCAGAAGTGAGCAGGTACGAGCTCTCAAAGAAAACACCGAATGTCAGACCTCTGTTGTCAGTACCCACTGTTCTCACAGAGCTGGTGCCCCCTTGGTAGTTCATGATTAGATAAAACTAAAAATGTAAAGATCTTTTCAAGTCTTCACGTGTACAAACTGCACCAAGACGTGCGGGGAGGGGCAACCACTTCTGTTTCTCAGTCTGTTCACATGAGCACCATAAAAACCAATGGAAAAAAATCCTTATTTTCCTTGAGTATAAACAACACTCATCTAAGAAATTTGGCTTCAATATGTATAACCGGTATCTGGCTTACTCTTAGTAAGCCAGCCACATCCCTCTACTTAAGGTTGTCTATAACAAACAGTATAGCTACTGTATTTTAATTTTTTAATTAATTCTATGTGCATTGGTGTTTACCTGCATGCGTGTCTGTGTGAGGGTATAGTAACCTGGAACTGGCATTACACACAGTTGTGAGCTGCTGTGTGGGTGCTGGGAATTGAACCTGGGTCGTCTGGAAGAGCAGCCAGTGCTCTTATCCGCTGAGCCATCTCCAGCACCCAGCGTATCTATTTTAAAATTACACTATTTTTCCTCCACTAGCTTCTCGTGTTCAATTCCAATTCCATCTCAAGCCTTGGCCTCATCTCTCTGTGAACTGCGTCCCCAAACGCCCACTAGTCACGCCCTGTGCCTCGTCTCCTGAGAAATCCTGTCACTAATGATGCATTCCATTCTGCTGACATTGGTGACATTCTGGTCACCTTAACCCTGAGGCCACAGTCCTGCTTCCATGCTTTCAGTTTACCTACACAAGAGCTGGGATGCCAGGTTTGGTGGCAATAGTGTTTCCTCTTTTTGTCTGTCACCAATCTAGTTCCTTTATTCTAAACTCAGGTTCTCATCGCCATTTACCTAGATTGATGATGCCACCTTTTGATGTGTCACTGCTGAAACAACTCAGTTTTATACAGTACAATCATAATTCAATCACTGTGACTAGAAAAACCCCTCAGTAGCTTCCACTTGTCTATGTAGTCATGCTCAGTCTTACCACAATCATCCAGAACCTCGACAAACCTCTAATTTAACTTCCTGACTCTGTCTCCTGATGTTAAACCTCTCCAGTTTGCAATGGGATCTAAATGGAGACTTCTGAGTTTTTCCAAACATAACCTGCATTTCACTTTTGAGACCTTCTGGTCCTTGCATTCAATCCTTTTGGACCAAGCAACGCTGGCCATCTCAGCCAGTCCCTCAGGACTCCTAAGCCACAGAGGTCCCACGAGCTGTTCTCTCCCGCGGTTGTCCCGGGACAGCGGTGCCACGGTCATTTCTGACCTGTCTTAGTCCCTGCTCTAAGATGACGGCAGGGAAGGGCTGGTGTTGTTTTCATGCTCTGCAGAATTTTCTAGCATTTCACTTGTAAGGTTTACTCAATAAACACTTACTAAAGATGGATCTATAACCAACAGTTTAAGCCATTCTGTTCAACTGTGCCATTAGATATATTAAAATTCCCAGAAATTTCTATCACACCTAGTACACATCACTTCTGAAATCATGACTTTTAATGTTTTTTAATGTCATTAATAAAAACACAGCAGGGCTTTCTAAGGTATATTTTTAGTAATATAAAAAGGTATAACCAAATCCTTATACTTCCACAAGCTTCCTGCAAATAAATTTAGATTCACATATTGAAAATAATCCCCCAGCAATTTTAAGTAACACAATTTTGATGATAGCTAGCCTCTAAACTTATTATAATTTCAGCAGTCAGGGCCATATTTAACCGCAGTTACTAAATGTATCTTTCTTTTGTTCAAGTCTGTACTTCTATGACAGATAACAACATGGTGGAAAAGATGTCTGCTATGGCGTGGAGAAGACATGAGTGTGTCAGCCCAAAATGAACGTGCTGGAAATCTAGTCCTCAGAATGGTAATGCTTATAGGACACAACCTTTAAGAGCAGGGTCCAGTGGGGGGGTTGACATGCACTGGGACGTCACCCACAGAGGACATATGAACAGTTCTCCAGGAACCCTGGCTTAATGGACACAAGAAGGACCAGAGTACAGAAAGAAGCCTGGCTCCTGCCTCTGCCTCACTTCTGACCTTGCTGCCATGTGGCCTGTCCCCCGACACGCTTTCGCACCATGATGCCACCATCATGAAATGATGTGGCCAGAAAGCCCTCACCAGAGACAAGAGATGAGGGTGACAAGCAAGCAAATCTTTAAAGTGTGAACTATTAATAAATAAACTCTTTAATAAAGAATTGGGTATTCTGTTATGCCACAAAAAAAAAATGACTGAAGTCCTTCATGTAAATAAAACGACTTTCTGTAATCAATAAATACCACATGTCTGGATGAGTTTATAAAAATTACTGATTATAAGAATTTATGAACTCATTCAAATCTCCAAAGTTACCTTTTCAAAATTAAAATTTAAATGTATTTTTCAATAATAATCATATATTTTGTTCCTTAAACAAGACAACTAAATGACAGACAAATTTAGTTGTGCCCTAGTGATAACAATAGAAAGTAATGATACAAGAAAAGTTGGTCGTACAAACCTCAGCAAACTAACATGTGGAAAATGTCATATTTATTAAAATTACAGACAATTAACAATAACTTAAATTTTAAATGTTAATTCAAAGCCATGAGGACACAATGTATTAACTTAATAGAATGACTTAACTTCAAAATATTAAACTATATAGCAGTTTATTATATGAGTTACCTATAAAAATTATATCACCAAAGAAACTCCTTAGGCTACATCAATGTGAGAAAAATAGAGTGAATAGCAACTAAGTTCCCCCTTGATGGACACAGGTGTCTATTTATCATCTACCTGGAACTGTTCCAAATCAAGTGAGAATTTTCAGTAGCACCTATCCTTATTAAGTCAGTTGGTATGGGTCTCTGTGGCTTGATTTTTTTTTTTTTTTTTTTTTTTTTTTTAGAAAGTGAGCAAGCTAAATGAAATAGAACAGTTAATTCATTTGTTTGTTTGAGACACTGTCTCCACGGGTAGATTAGATTGGTTTCAAACTCTTGATTTTCTTGCCTCAACTTAAAAGCTGGGATAACAGATGTGCACTATTAGACAATGTTTAACAGCTCTAGTATGAAGAATACTAGTTATGATCATAACACTATATATTATCATTTTTGTTGAATCAACATAATCACCTTGAAAAGTATTATCACTATTTAGTAATTAAAGAGGCCTGCAAAAGCAGGGAGGGCACACATTGACTAAATTACCTGTATAATTTGACATATAGTATATGTTTTTAAAAATAGTTCATTATAATGCATATATATGTATGCACACACATATTACTAGATTACTAGCTTTAAAAGTACTTTTAAATGAGTACTTGAGAATAGGAGACTTTTAAAGATACTGAAAGGCTCACAGTCAGTTTTTAACTGGCAATATTTAATGTTACTGAAGGCATTAGCCTCTTCAAATGTGTGATGAAAATCCTGGACCCTCTTCTAGAGCACTCATGTACAATGAAAATCTAAGAAATGCTTGGGTTCAAATTATGACTTTCATTTTTTTAGTTATAAAGCTTACTTTTAAAGTATTATGTCAATGTTTTTAATTAAACTTATTCTTCGACAATTCTCTCTCTCTCTCTCTCTCTCTCTCTCTCGCACACACACACACACACACACACACACACACACACACACACACAGCCCTATATCTACATGGTACTCAGATTTTCATTTTTATAAGAAAAGGATGTTGCTCTTCTAGAAATAGGAGTGAGCTTGTATTCTATGGTGAATTTCATTCCCCTTTAAGAGTGGTTCTGTAGAACTCTACTAAATTGAATTTCCTATAGTCAGTGTTCTACTGATGTACATAATAGGCCTACACTATACTAATTAGTGCATGTTAAACTCGTCTCAATGTAACAGAGGCAAGAGAAATGGCAGAGATGTGCTGAAATTAGAATGATGGACTGGACCAACACCTAAGTCTGACAAGGACTCTGGGAAATAACAGTGGGAGGTGGAATGAGTGGGCAGCTTCCAGAAAAGTAATGCCGGAAAGTAATGACAGTGCTCAGTGAAAGCACCCTTCATTACTACTTCTTCAATCAAAATAAACAGACATTTCAGGGACAGGGATTCTAAAGAGCAATATGGCCTTGCCTGTACTCCATGGATCTTGTTATCTTTATTGCAATACCATTTATCTATGTGAAATATGGGGAGCTGTTATGAGACAGATTAAGCAAAATGTGTGGATGCCTTCCCAATGCTTTCATAATGAATGAGCTACATTAAAGTATTATAAGAGAGTATTTCCAAATTATCATCAAAGTCAGCAGTGACAAAGTTTAATAAGAAATTTGTTCTATATGAAAAACTAGTTATCTAGTTCCGAAATATTAAACTAGTATAAAATTAAGTTTGTAGAGCTTAAGATGTTTTTTGCGGGATATAAACAGTTTTAGTAAAAATTTGGCCAGGCGGTGGTGGCGCACGCCTTTAATCCCAGCACTCGGGAGGCAGAGCCAGGCGGATCTCTGTGAGTTCGAGGCCAGCCTGGGATACCACCAAGTGAGTCCCAGGAAAGGCACAAAGCTACACAGAGAAACCCTGTCTCGAAAAAACAAAAAAAAAAAAAAAACAAAAAAAAAATCTATAATTGAGAAAATTTTACTAAATTTTATTTAGAAAAGAACAAGAGAGGCAAGGAAATAAATACGTATTTTGCTCTGCCTGAGTGTATATCCTAAACACTATTTCAAAAGGTGGGAAATCACGGTGCATCTTGCCACTGTAACAATGACTTCCAGTGTGATCTCCATTACAATAATTTTCAATCTTCTGATCTCCATTTTCCTTCTTTAAGGTTCAATTACTTTGAACACTTATTCTACTTACCTAAATCGGGCTTTAGATCAGTTGGCAAGCTTAATTTCCTTGACATCTTTGCTGAAAAATAAAATATATTTTTAAAATTCTGAGAAATATTTGATTGATATTTATCATAGCAACTGATTTTCAAGATAGAAGTGAATAGTTTTTTTTTTTTTCTAAATCTAGATTCTGGGATAATTAAAATAAGTTTATAATAACATCAGGAGTGGAAAATAAATCTTACTTCAAAATTTTTAAAAGTGTGTACTTACTTACTTGAGGTAGTATCTTTGTGTGCTTGAAGCTCTTACTTCAAGGCAGTATTGTAAACTCTTAACTTAAGAACCTTTATTGCTTAGGGCTTCAGGAGAAAAGTCATTCCTCAGAAGGAATGTGTTGCAGAGAGGCAACAGTCACAAGAACAAGCTAGGGCATGTGACAGAACATCTTCCTAGCTCCTCATTCCATGCTTATTGGACTCATTATTCTTTTAAAGTTAATTTTTAAATATAAGACATGTCTATATTTCTAAACAAATCAAAGTATTTATGCAATAAACATATTTGACTGAACCATTATTTGATATAAATTAATACTTCCATTTCTATTTCAGTGAGAAAAACACAAAGTCATGCTTAATCTAAAATCATGGTATTTGTATAAAATGTCAATAAAAGTCTTTTTATATAATAGAAAAACTAAAAGTTCATCCACAAACTTCATAGAATTCACTTTCCATCCTCAAAATCAGTTATGGTCTTAGTTTAAGAAGTGGTATAGAGTTAGGAGTCAGTTTGCTACATCTATTATGTTAGTGGTATTGCATGCGGCATAGAACAGTGCTCCCTATGTGAAAGTTCGAAAAAAAAAATTGGTTAATACACGAATGCATATATTTGGTTAAAGTTTGGACGGTTAGGAGATATTTAAAGCACAGACCCTGCTAGTCCATAAGGGCGCCATGTAAACAAAGAGAAATCCAGTCATAGTACATAACTTCCACATCTAAAAAAACGACAAATCCAGTGTTAGGAATAGGCATTGGGTAGACTGGAAAGGGCTTGGGGGAGGGGTGAAGTCATCTTGTTACTTCTTAGCTTGACTAAGCTAATTAGAACATTCTAACAAAACAACTGGCCACATTTATCCATCAGCCGTCTCATCTTCACCAGCTTACTAAATCTGAGACAAGAGATAAAAGGCAACACACAATTAAAGTAGATGAATATAATCATAGCTGTTGACCTCACATACCTGGGTGCTATTATACTTGATGTATAAGACCCTTAGGGTTAGAAGATATTGTGTCTCTCAAACAGTCTTCTAAAGACAATGTTAAGTCAACACTTTCTGTTTAGCACTAGGATTTATTTATTATATAAAATATTGAAATAGTTAAATATTTCTCTAGCAATTTTTCAGCTGATCTAATTTCAATAGTTTCTTAATACTGAGAAGATAAGAGTGCACATACAATGACTAGGAAGATTTACTATAACTTTCACAACATTTTAATTATGTACTTCTGCTAACTATATGTCCCCAACTCCTTTTTAACTGCACAGCCTTATAATGCAGTGTCCACCAACTCAGCTAGTCCTGAGGTCAGCACCACACAGTAAGACTATGGACAAAGAACCACACAGTAAGACTGTGGACAGGAGCACCAAGGAATAAGACTGTGGACACAGCACTACAGAGTAAGACTGTGGAGAGAACCACAGAATAAGACTGTGGACACAGCACCACACAGTAAGACTGTGGCTGTGGACACAGCATTTAGCTTTTCTGACTATCTCTTTCTTGAAGCTGTGTGATTTAACTCATTAATACTGTAGAACACAAGCATAAAGCTGTGTTAGAATCATCAGGCATGTGTGAAAAGGACTAAAGAAAAGAGCACATGACCAACAAACAGCACTCACTTCACTTAAAATGACTTCAACAATTACTTGAGGTTTTCCTGAGGAATGACTGAATACCCACGTTCTTAGGATTGGGGACATAAGGGCTCTGAAGTATAGTCTTCTCCATCTTATCAAATGCCACAGAACAAAATCTGTCCACTAGGCAACACACAGAGGTGCCCATTAAAAACAGAGCTGTGTTTCTATTTGTTTTGCCAGACTTACTTAAGTTGCTTTAATTTTGAATCTTTGTTCTTTAATCTCTTACGTTATTTCCCCTCCTCCTAGTTTCACACATTCAGGCAACTTGATAATTACTTGACACATGGAAATTAAAATGGTCTTGGAGACCAGATCAGAGCATGGGATCCAACTAGAAATCTACTTTTAGCATGGCATGAAACAGAATATACATCAAATGGAATCTTCAGGAAAGTTAATTTTGATTTTCTTAACAAATAGTGCTAGCTATTTGGATTGTATTTTATACACGAGGATATCTTGGAAGTTATATATATCCATTTCTACATAAACCAAACTATCAATTTTTTTGTTATTTGTAGAATCTTACTTCTAAATACTTATAAAATATATATGAAGAGTAAATAATAATAGTGAGCACACTTACTAAGAGACTTATGGAAACTGTTAATAGTCAAAGAAAAGTTGCTGATTCGAAAATTACTGATCTTTAAGATTTTACTAACAAAGTCAATCCTACAGCATGAAGAGGCAAGCACACTACATGTGTCCTATGTGCATGTAACTTTCTTTGTGCATGATGCTGTTGCATTATGTTCTGCTTTAATGTATTCAGAGGTTGCTCTTCTTACACAGAAGTAAAGAATCACTGTCAAAGTTATTCGCTGGGGTAGCAGCCAATGAGGAGCCAAGAGACCAAGCTGGGCTCTGGGTTCAGGGGCCAGTGTATTCCAGTTTGCTCTTTTTTCAATCTTGTCTTTGAGATAGACTTCTAGAGACTATATTATACTTAGGCAATGAGTTCCAAAGTGGTGGATATGATTTGTTATTCAGACAGAATATGCTATTTTCTTCAATAAATGTATGTCAAATTTTTATAAACTTTATTATAAAAAACCTTGTAAAAATGACACACAGAATTTAATTAAAAGCCATTTCTCCCAGATTACTGTGTAGCAGAATAGGGCCATAGCCAAATTATCTATTTATGAATTGCATAGTATGTTTATAATATATGTTTTATACCTGTATATTTATGTAAATACGTGGGTGTGCAGTGCCAACAGTGGAACTGGACCCCTGGAGTGCACATTTGGCTTTATCGTTTGGCTGTGGAGCAAACAGATGAGTCACACTCAGTCCCCTCATCTGTACAACACAGAAATAACGGTCCCTGAGATTACTAAGTGCTGGTGCAATGCTAGGATAGCATAATAGATAATTATACTAAAAAGTTGTTCTTGTGTCCTTTACCTCTGCTGTATTGTCAAGGCAATGATAAATAAGAAAAAATGGTTGATTTTCCATGCTTGTGGGAAGGGAAAACATGATCGAAATATACTGCATGGAAAAAAAATATTTCAAAGAAAGAAATAATGCTAAAGTATGAATGGTACCCTGTACCACCTCAAGCAACTCACACACTATCTCTGGCACCAGCAACAATTATTCTCCAACACGTGAAACTTAAGAACAATGCAATTCAGTCAGTGATCCAAGGTAGTTCTCTCATCAGAGTCCAGCTGTGAGTCTAATTCTTACTCACAAGGCCCCCACATAATCACCTAAAGACGTGGCTGGGAGTGCTATGCAGGATGCCAGCAACACTAAAGGAGTCCTAGTGGTTTTTATTTTTAAGATGAAAAATATATTTCAATTTCTATGTGTACGAGTGCTTTGCTTGCAAATATCTAGTGGCTTTGGAGGTGAGAAAGGGGTGTCAGATGTGGATGCTGGGAACTGAACTTATGTCCTCTACAAGAGCAATAAGTAATCTTAACTGCTGCTGAGCCACCTCTCAAGATCCAAGTCCTAGTATTTTTTTTTTTTTTTATTAAAAGTGTTCCACAGCAAACATTAATCTGGTAGCCAGATCATTTACATTTCATGTTTCTCAACAGCATATTTTAATCCTAATTATTATTATAAAATAGATACTAATGTAGAGAGGTACATATAGAGGTTATATATCTAATGCAGAACATTTCAACCACAAGACCTTCACAATGGAATACGGGGCAGACTCCATTTGAAAAAGGAAAGCCTTGAGATGTTTAGCTTTATTTCTATATACCAAAACTGTTATATCAAGAAAGGCACCCAACAAAAATCATTCAATATACAATAAAGATATTGCAGAGGAGGAAAATGTTCCTGGTTAAAAATAATTAGTAAGTTTCATATACTAGTATAACTTTGGAAAGATGGATAAAATCAACATATTTCCTAAGAAGTGGTCCTAGACAAGTTGGCATGACAAAAAGAAAAACACAATGTAGAATGCAGAAGAAACAAACACTATCCAAGACATGTCCTTCCAAACATGTGGTCTAGCCTAGCAAATTTGTTCATAAAGTCTTTCAAATAACTGAACACACATATTTCCAGTTACATATCTACTTGAAGCAGAGAAAAGGGGAAGGTCCACATTAATAAATTTACATTACCCTAAAACTAGAAAAAAGGGGAAGGTACACATGAATAAAACTACATTGTCATAGAACAAGAAGTCAGACAGAAGATGTGGTAACAAATTTAACCAGCTGCAAATTCTTTCAGGCCAGGTAATTTAACTGTAAAAGTTACTTAATGAAATTGCTGTGGAAAAGAACTTCTGTCTATAGTGGTGATGGAACCAGAATATAACAGGATACAATATGCTATAAAGGAAATTAGTTGCGAAGTTAGTACATGATTAAAGTGATTTAATCATTATTACCCACAGATTTACTATGAAACCACAACAAAGAATAAATAATTGATGAAAAGCCCTTTGCCCATAAATAAACCATCTTATTTAAGATTGACCAGAGGGCTAACAGTCATCCACCATTAATACATCTAAACAGGGTTCAATTTACAATTCTAAGAGAACAAGGGTTTTCTTGTAGAAATGTTTGAAAATGCAACCATTTATTAAAGGTTATGAAGCGGGGAAAAGTCAACTCTTTCAGATACAGAGAAACTCGTCTACTTTAACTAGATTAAAGGAGTATGTAGTAGGGATGGTGACATCACTCAGTTGGTACAAGTGCTTCCTTTGTAAGTAGGAGAACCTGAGTTTTATCCCCAGAAGCCACATCAAAATAGCTGGACATGGGGGTGTGCACTTACAGTCCCTGAGCTGAGAAGGCAGAGAGAGATCTCAGGGTCTCCTGGCCAGCCAGTCTGGTCAGTGACTTGGTTAGCTCCAGGCCAGGAAAAGACACTGTCTCAGCAAAGTAACACCAAACAAAGGAAACAAGGAAAAAGGAGATGGCACCTGAGGAATGACACACAGGTTGTCCTCTGTGTGCAAGTATGTGCACACACATGCACTTGTACACTCAGTGCGTGTCCCGTGGTGCACATACACATATACCTAACCCCCCCCCCCCAAATAGAAAAACAACAGCAAAGGAATATGTGGTAAAGACATAGGGGAAGTAAAAAAAATATATATATATATTAACTGTATAATGAACATTTCATGGTTAAGTCAAAGGTGAACTAGGCCTTTTTCTATAATATTATTTAGTCAAGACTTTCAAAGTTATGGAGCACCCTCAAATTTTTATAACCCAAAAAAAATCTCTAATTTGATTATGTTTCCAAGTATGGTTATATATTTCTTCTTTCGCTTTAAACTTTGGGAATCTTAGACTGAGCCATTCCTTACAAAATATGCACAAAACAAGAGTAGTATAAATACTTTTATTTGTGCATGGGGGTAGTGGTTGGTGCGGAACTGCCAAATACCCTGACACTGTTATTGATTACAGACTGAAAAATGCCATCTTTTAGAAGATCATTTTCTTGATATGGGACCTTAAAAATATGAGAGAGATGGAGTAAAGGCAGAAAAAAAAATACAAGTAAAACTATAAAGGAAAAACTGACTCTCAGTTTAACATGAGAGTGTGAGCATGGTATTGAGAACATAAATTGAACCCTGCTTTATTTTAAAACAAAGCAAAAATAAAAGTTAACAGAATAATTCACACTGTAAGTCCAGAGAAAGCGCCACAACCGCAATTTAACTGATTTTAAGAATTATTTCCCAAATGCATTTAGAATAGACATAGCCCGAAGATTATCATTTAGCAAAGAAATAACAAATTAACATCACAAGATGCAATGCACTAGATCATTTTCTGGTGTTGGGTTAGCATTGCATAGAGCGACAATTAGAAACAAAATAAAAACTTCTATTTCCTACCTAGGTCACTGGCTACCTTCTTGGAAAACTTTCTGCTTTTGGTCTTCACTGAAAATAATATTTTAATATAAAATGTCAAAATCTATTCAGAGTAAACTAAAGAAATTAAGTATAAAGAAAACAAAATATTTTAAAATAAAGATACTATACCCTTTTCTATAAAATTATTCCCTTTTTGCTCATCGTCTGAATTGTGTGGTGACGAAGAACCTACACACGTGAAGACAATGGAGGGAACAGGGGACACTGTCAGTCACAAGCACAGAGACAGCACAGCAATCAGTCACAGCTACAGCCCTGGGGACCCCCAGTCTGAGGGTACCCCAGCACTGCCATCAGCGTGTTATATACAGTCTTTTATGGCAGACCCTACCATATAGACATTTATTTCTAATCATTTTTAATGCATAATATCTTGTTGTATTGTATATTATTTAAAAGTCAAAGAAGTCAGAAAGGAAATGTAACGTTTAGACAACTATGAAGTACATCTCAACATATGTCACAGATTAAATGATTCACCACATTCCCAACTAGAGATTATGTCACCATTTTAGTCGGCATGATACTTTATATACTTCTGATACAATATTCACCATTTAGCTAGGTGGTATTTTTAAATTTATACACAGGTGACCTTCCCTCACTGAAACAAATGTCTATTTTGCACCCCATTTGTGATCATTGGTATGTATTTCATGTAGATGTCACTAGTTTATATTATCTAAATGAATGAAGCTTTTCTGCTAGAAGAAAATATATAAAAAAGAACTGAGAGTAAATAAAATGTTTTCCTTTTTATGCTTAAAAAACTCCCAGTAGAAATAATAAACCTTAGTGAATTAGCTAGAAACTCAAAACCTCGAACTTGACTTTCTGAAAAGTCATCTTTCTTTACTATGGCCAGAGAGACATTCTCACCAAGAAAAGCCTGCCAACGTGGGCAGAATCCAATCACACCTACAGAGGTTTGCAAACACTACTCTCTGAATAATCCATATTACTTTGGTTTACAGCATCCATAGATTCTCCCAAATCTCATATAGAACTATCACAAAACCATCACTAATCTCAGGATAGTTCCAGAGCAGAAACGAGATAGCTGTTTTTCATACAAATACAACACATTTAAAGACTATAATGGCCATAGGAACTTCATATTTTAAAATATTGTCACTTCTGGTACCAAATGGCTGCATAAATTTATGGTAAATGTATATTAATAATAGCTTTATTTTATATATTTCATATCAGAGTCATAGCTGGCTAGTATTTCCATTATATTAATATTAGAAAAATGTCTGGTGTTTTCTAAACATAAACAGGCAATGTAGTTGAAAATGCTTACTACTTGTTGTTGTAATTGTTATGATCACATATAACAAGTTACAAAGTTTATTTGCATACATCTACCTGATTACCATAATTTAACAAACACATAAAATATCTACAACTTCTTACTTTCTTCAGGCCACATATAAACACCAAAAGCCACCATTTATATCATGCTATGTGTGAATCTTCAGTTTCAAATAGCCTAACAGATTCCTAAAATCATCGTAGCATTTTATATGTCTATATAAATATAAGCAGATGCATTACAAAAAGATCGCATCATTTCTAAAGTGGTGGGTGAAATGGTCGCAGTTCCCTGAAGTAATGGTCTCTGCAGTCAGCACTTCCACTTGCTCCTAAGGTACCTAACATGCTGCACTGACGTCAGCTTCAGACAGACCACTGGCTTATTTTAAAATAAATGGAAAGGGAAACGCTCTAACATGTTTTGACACATGTTCTGAAAAGAGCTTTTGTAATAATTAGCTGAACAGCCGGCTATTTTGGTTACAAGATTTAAAAGATTCTCAGTTTTCTCCATTGTATGCATAAGTTTTGGTCAATGCATCCATCAGTTTTGGCAGAAGGCAGATGGGCACTTACACTTTTAAAATACCTATCTTTTCTTAGTACTTATAAGGGACTCATTTCAACTTTCCATTCACTTTTATACATAGTTCCCTCTCCTACAAACGCTAACTATTAAAATATTAAGTATTGTTTTTAATAATTTATTATGTGCTACTTAACAATTTTACTTATTTATACCCTATCTGATTGTAAGTAATTCAGACAAGTATTTTTGTAGTTTTCATGCTATTGCAAACAATTAAAAAAAAAAAAGCTGGGTGTGGTCACTTTTAATCTCAGCACAGAGGAGGCAGGGCCCAACCTAGTTTGTACAGCGAGTTCCAGGTTAGCCAAGCCTGTTCTCAAAGTACCAAAAGCAAATAAATTAAGAAAAAGAAAACTGTGACTTTTTTGAGTCACCTCAAATTAATTTAATCCATTTTTATCATTGGCCTCTAATTTGCTAGTAAGAGAACTGAATGATAATAAATCTTTCCTTTACTTCTCAGTTAGGAAGTAAAAATGGATGAGGGCAATGCAATTACAAATATGTAAGATAATCAGGCCATGACGACATAGAATACTAGTAACGGTCATAACAGAAAAACACACCCAAGTTGCAAAAGGACAGTGACCAGAGGGGCCTGACAAGGGCATCCAGCTGCCACTTTGGGGGGGCTCAGCTCTGCACACTGACACCCACAGCGTGCTTTAGACTCGATCACTGCCTGTGAAGTATGGCCTTTTTAAAGAACACTTTTTCTTGATGAATAAGAACAGACTTGATTCCTCAGAATTCTATCATCTGAACATAAGCAAAGGCTAATCTGGATACACTGCAGGTTTTATATTTAAGATCAAGAATTCATGTCTTATTACCAGTCTTCTTGAGGTTACCTCTGCATTTCAAACTGATAGAAATGTTAGAAACAATAAAAACATGTAGCATCTCATCAATGTTAAAATCATACTGCGTTTGCATATGAACCAATAAGCAAAATAATTTTAAAATGTTGAACTGCCTTTGAGTTTCCTCTACTTTGAGGATCTCCAGGGTGGGATTTAGATTACACATTTATGTACCGTCTATATTTATATACTTATATTTACCTACTCTTTTGCATTTATCTAAAATTGTGTGTGACTATTAAGTGCTTCATCTCCCTGCCATTATAAAGTTTGGCCTAGTATGAAAAGAGATACTAATTTATTTGGGCTGAATGTAACTAAACATAGTAGCAGTTTAAGTGTGGTCTGTTCCATGTTCAAAACACCTCCTGTGCTCAGGTCCTTAATATACTGACAACTATATTGACTGGTCTGTGGGAAAGGTGGGAAGAGCAGAAATAAACTGAATGTACTTGGAAGGAATAATGAAGACACACAATTCTAACTCCAAATTTAAAAAGATGTCAGCCCTACAAGAGGGGAAGTAACTCCTTCCTGTCATCTATAGCTTTACTGATGGGTAGGGAGCAGTGTGGCTTCTGTGGCTCTACGTTTTAGGAGTTTAATGGGCAAATTGAAATAGGAGGTTTACAGGACAAAATTCCTGTGTGAATAGACGTGTGTGTGTGTGTGTGTGTGTGTGTGTGTGTGTGTGTGTGTGTACATGTGGAGGCCAAAGATCAACCCTAGGTGTCACCCCTCAGGTGCTGTCCCCCTTGTGTTCTGAGGCAGAGGCTCTTGTCCTGGAACTTGCCGCATAGGCACAGTTATGTGGCCAGCAAGCTTCGGGGATCCACTTGTCTTCCCTTCCTCAGTGCTGGGATTACAAACACACAGCACTGTGCTGGGCTCTTCCGTGTGGGCTCTGAGGGACAAACTCACATCTCAAAGGCAAGCACTTTACCCATGGACCAGCTCCCTTGACCACTCTTCAATTTTGCAAAATGAAATGATCAATTTGTACAAAAATCATAAAAAAATTGTAAAAAGAAAACACAAAAGCTTCTTTTATCAGCCTTGGCTAATCAAGTGGAAACAGAAACATCCCATCTTACAATTCTTTCCAATATAGTGGAATGGCTTGTGAAAGACAGAAACCCAGACATGGTGTTTCTTATGCCAAGAAAAATCATTCTAGGAGAAAAGCTAATGAAGATTCCTAGGTAGAAAATAACAAATTTAATTAAAATAATGAAGCTAAATTTACTAAAGACTAGCAAAACTACAATCTCATACAATAACAAACTCAAGATTTTATTTCTAAGGATACTCAAATGTACTAAAAATAATGTTGCTGTGAAATACTACTATACACATGGGCCGTATAAAGACCCTGCAAATAAAAAAGAGCTGCTTGGATAAGTCCATAAATACACAAGAAATGACCTCAATCAAAATGAAAAACAAATGTAAATAGGCCAAAATTTTCCTATGGGTCCATTTCTTCAGACTACAGGTATCAAAATCTTTAATAACGTTTGGGGCTGGAGGTGTTGTTTACTGGCAAAGGGCTTGCCTGGTATGTACAAGGTCCTGGGTTTGATCCCAGTCATGGAGCAAAAAAAGGGGAAAAAATCTGTCACAGCATTAGAATGGGTATTATTTAATAATTACCAAAAAGCTGAGTTTTCAACTAAAAAACTCAACTTTTCACATTGCAGGAGTATGCAGAAGCACAGATCTGAGATAACTAGAGCATTCAATAGTTAAGTAGGAAATACATTCAGCACAGTCAACTGTAAGAAAGCTAACTGAGCCATCATACAAGCCTGAACAGACACGAGTTGTGGACTTTTAATCAGCATGTGCCACATTTCTTGTCCCTTATTGAAACAGTTATGACTTTAAGAAAGACAGATGATATATTTCTCATATGTAATTATAAGTGTTTATAAAAAGATATACTGATATGCCATCTTAGCTTTTTTTTTTTTAAATCATAATTGTTAACGAAATAAAACCCAGATTACCGGAAGTTGGAGACTTGCATCGATCTTCCGTGACGACAGTCCCTTCAGTAATATCACACAGGCCCGCTGGAAGACAAATCAGGAGCAAATGAGACCAAGCCCATTTATACAAGCTTGCCTGCTTCTCACAGGGTCTATTTCACTACTAGCCACGAAAAGACAGATTCACGGATATGGCAATAATGAGGCTTGGGATGGGAACATTCTGGTAACAAAATATCTCCAAGTAATGTGGCTGTAGTCCACTGAACAAGAAAATTTAGAAACAGGATTTCTTAATGAAGTGATGTGCTATTCTTGAAGGAGATCAGACATGACCTAAGATCTATACAACACCAGAGATATGGAGATACATGGTACGCTCCATTTACTGCCCCAAGAGAGAAGAAACACTTGAGCTTGACAATTTTTATACCACAAGAGTCCTCAACTCAAATTTCTAAGTGGTTTTCCTTAAGTATGTCTTGAACACATCACTTAAATATTTTTAAATAATTATGAAAATATTTTGTATCTCTTAAATTTGTATTTTAAATCTTGCAATTATCTATCCTATATAGTATCCCTCTTAAAAACTATAATGTCACATTTTAAAACCTCTTAACAAAGACTTCTCCCAAGGTAGGTATGAATTACATAAATTATATAAGATCCATACTATAAGTTGGCCAAAATTATAATTAAGAAGTACTGCAAAGTATTTTATGAGGAGGTAAAGGGACAGGATTAACTACAATGAAGGATGTCTGAAAAAGGCACATGGAAATCTACTACACCACAAACCAATAGTGATAATAATAAAGGATGGAAATGGAGGTACCCTGCATAACTGGGTAATGCTGCTCCCAAAGCCAGACCACTACACAAAGATGCCAGCATCATGTGTGGGATACCTCCCTATGAGATGTTGGTCTGGAAGGCACCAGAGGCCCCGAAACAGTGCCGGTTGCTGCTGCTCCTCTATGATGTCTGCCAGAGCTGGAGGATGAGGCCTTTCTTTGCTGAACATATTACATGCTTTGGCTGCACAGAAACCAAGCTAGAACTGAGCTTCCTCTCTGCTGGCTAGCAGTTATAGCACGAGAAAGTGCTTTGAAGGCATCTGGGGAAAGTCACCAAGAATCTCACACAGCTGTAAACGCTATGGGCTACAGTACTGACCTGCCAGGCGTGATACGAACCACTGGCAAGACTGTTTTAGGGTGATCCTTATCAACCACTTTCTGATTAGATTGAGGCCTACCCCATGGGAGAAAATTCATGCGTCGCATTGTTAAAGTAATAAAAACCCCATGCCAGGGGAAGTGATGGGGCGTGTGTGTGTGTGTGTGTGTGTGTGTGTGTGTGTGTGTTTGTGTGTGTGTGTATGTGTGAATGTGTGTGAGAGCCTGTTTGTGCATGTCCGTATGTGAGTGTGTGTGTGTCTGTATGTGTGTCTGTGTGTGAGTGGTGTGCAATCTACTGTTGTTTTGCTAACCTGATACAGTGTCAAATGTCTTCTAGACAAAGTTATGTTTACACTCATAGATCAATGTTCTCTGCCTCTTCAGAGAAACTTCTTTTGCAGTGGGTGACAGTTAAGGGAGAGACTCATAATTAGTCATAACGTGGAGCATATGTGACTTGAGTGCTCAGCCCTGAACAGGACATCTGCACCAACTCCCCCGAGGCTTAGGGACACTGCAGAAGAGTGGGCAGAGGGACATAGAGCGGGAGGTTGGATGTGAGTGCTGGGAACGGCCGCTGTTGAACATGACATTGCTGCTGCAGCCATGAGCCCATGGCGGTGTAGTTTCTCATGCAGAGTCCACATGACTGGCCAACCAGCATTCCACCACAGGTGTGCAAGGGGAATCCTGAGCCTCTATTACTCTTTTCAGAGTTACAGGCAGTTAATGGTTGCTGAGGGAGACGGGACCATATCCCTCATTGGTTTAGCAACTGGTAAATGGAACTTGTTCAAGTATAACCCTCCCTACACTCATTTTCATGCAAGGACCATAACTAAATGTAGTAGGATAGAAACACAAGCAGGCATGCGCGCTTGTGCACACACACACACACACACACACACACACACGAGAGGCATTTATTGGGAAGTTTGGATTAGCTGAGAAACTGGACTGCACATTAAAGACTCAGAAGAAGCCAGGTGTCACACAATGTATGTCATGGGACCAGTCAGGATCTGCTTCCTATTATTTCATGAAATAACAATCTTACAATTGCTATGTATAGTACTTACTGGTATAAGTGCTTTTTTTTTTTTACACATTCTTTAAAATACTTCTATATTCATGTCTATATTCAGTGTATATGCAGGTGTGTGTGTGTGTGTGTGTGTGTGTGTGTGACAGTGCATGCCACAGTGCACATAACAAAGGTTACAGGATAACTTTTGGAGAGTGGTTCACTTGTTTCACGTTTAGGTTCAGGGAACTGAACCCAGGCCATTAGGTGTGGTAACAAGAATCTTACCCACTAAGGAAGGCATCTGCCAGCACTCCTTCTGCAATCCTGCCTGTGAACCCCATTACACTGAACACACACACACACACACACACACACACACACACACACACACACAAACACCTCTTCCTACAATTTCACTATCTATGATTTCAATTACTCACTGTTAACCTGGTCTGAAATATTAAATGGTAAATTCCAGAAATAATTCTTAATTTTTAAATTAGGCACCTCTCTGGGTAGTGTGCTGAAATTTCACTGCCCAGAGACATCATCACTCCATCCTCATATGTATCTACCTACCCACTAGTCACAGAGGACCAGTTCTGCTTATTGACTACAGTGTTGTAGTGCTTGTGATCAAGCACCTCACAAAGTCCAGATGCTGATGTGCCTACAAGACCCGTAACCTGCTCTGAGTGCCATGCCTGCGGGAGGCACACAGGGAGGAGGAGTGCACAGCAGTAAGACATTTTCAAGGACAGAGACCGTACACACTTAACGTTAATACAGAAATACTAACTGTTCACTTTAGTATTGGTTACTGGTGATAACCTTACTGTGCCTGACTCTAACTGAACATTACCACAGGAGTGTATATGGACAAGAAAACACAATACACAGAGGGTCTGAAATGGGTTTGGGTATCCCCTAAGGTCTAGAATCCCTGTGACAGTTTTACAATGTTCCTTATGAGGCCTCAATCCATATTTCAAGTAATAATTCAACTGTAATGTAATAACAGAGTTAATATTTTCAACTTCAAATGATAATGCTTTATCTTATAAAACAAATTTGTAAGTGACCCTAGAGTCCTAATCAAAATAGACTCTATCTGTTGGAGGTAAATAAAATTCTCCATTCAAACTGACCTATTAAAAAAGGTTGAAGAGCCGGGCAGCAGTGGCGCATGACTTTAATCCCAGCACTCGGGAGGCAGAGCCAGGCGGATCTCTGTGAGTTCGAGGCCAGCCTGGTCTACAGAGCGAGATCCAGGACAGGCACCAAAAGTGCACAGAGAAACCCTGTCTCAAAAAACAAAAGCAAAAAGAACCCAAACAAAATAAAAGAATGAAGAACAGTGTCATGGTACTTGTGCTACAGATCAAGTACATACTGCAGAGAGAGAGAGAGAGAGAGAGAGAGAGAGAGAGAGAGAGAGAGAGAGGAGGGGGGAGGGAGGGAGAGAGGGAGGGAGGGAGAGAGGGAGGGAGGAAAGGGGGAGAGAGAGAGAGCTAGGTGCTATAGCACATATCTGTCATCCTGGTGCTGGGAGGGAGGGGTAAATGTACCCCTTGAACTCACTAGCCTGCTTTGAATGTTAAGACAGGGTTTCAGCAGGCCAGCCTTGAGCTCAAAGAGATCGTTTTGTCCCCATTTCCCACATCCTAGAGTTGTATGCATACACCCCAACACTTGGCTAAGAATATTCTTTTTATATTAATACAATTAGAGAATTTTAATACCAATTATTATACAGTTAATTTTACATGAAAAATAGGTAAGTCATTTTTGTAACCAGATGCACAAATATAAGATTCCTGGAAACATTTATAAAACAATTAACCCTTCTTTCCTTCCTTTCATGAAGCAGTCTTTCTACCACAGATGTACACCCCCAATCCCACACTATTATTTATTTTTATTTAAGAAACCTTAAATAATGATAAAGTGAGGCAAAATTATAATGTGAAATACTTTAACCTAATAAAAACTTCAAATAGTACTCATATGCTAAACATCTATGTCTTCAATATGAAATGAAGCAAATAATATTAATGATATTATAGGACTAGCTATGTAATAAAGTAGGATGCAGTAAAATTTAAAAAAAAATTAATTGTATAATAAAACTTGTCTCATCCTTAGATAAGTTTGGATAGTCAATTACTAGCAATTTAACGTAAATCTTCTAAAGTATAAAGGGGAATATTTTGATTTCAAGACAAGTAAGATTTGTACAAGTTTGTAAAGTCTAAATTTTTTTCTGTCATGAAAATGTTTTCACATTCTTTCATACATATTTCTTTCTTTGCTTCTTAGAGAAGTTGGGTTGGGACATATTGTTTAAATCGCTGTTATGAGATAAATCTAAATGATGAGTTTAGTCTTTTAGACAGAAAGTATTTTAGTTAGAAAGTAAAATGAAAACGGAAACAATGATCTTACAGACAACAAAACGGTCAAGACATAAAGGACTTACTTAGAAAGGAAGAGCGGAGTGTTTTCACTGATTCACAATACAAGCTAGAAAGGCCGGACATGCAAGAAGTCACACCCCGCAAACCTCAGGGAAGCAATGGGGGGAGGGGGGAAGAAAGGAGACAGGTGCTAGAATGCCGTGGCTGAAACAGAGCTGCTGCTGAAGATAACACATGACAATATGATCGCACTCACAGACAAACAACGCAAAACAAACTCTGAAAAGAAAATGCCAACCATTAAGCAAAATGATAGAAAGGCCTAATAATATCTTTATTTTCTGCTGAGTTTTCTCATCTGTTACAATCTTGGTAGCTATCATTAGCCAATAATGTACTGAGAGCAACTTGAATCTGAGAGAATTTTAAAATGTTATGTGTGTGTGTATGGGGGATTTGTATGCATGCATGTATGTGTGTAGGTAAGAGTACATATTTGTGGTGCTAGAGAACATGGCTCTGCCCACCCTGAATCAAAGAGAACTTTAATTCCGTGGGACTGAGGAGAATGCTTACACCAGTTCCCTAAACAGTGCTCCAATGCTCACCAGGATTCTGCAGATGACTGAAACAAGCTCTAAATAGGGTTCCCCTCAATCTTTGGTTTAGCTGGGAGCGCCCACAGGAAAACCAAGCCCACTGCACTTATTGCTCGAGGTCTCATCAATATACCCCATATATCATGCATATAAAGTTATTTGCTGTATATCATGAAGCAAAATACAGGCAAGAGGTATAGGACACCTAGCCAGAAATATGTGTGTTCTATGTTCTAAGAGATAGCAACATGGAAACAGTTACTACTAATATTAGATACTTAGCAAACATCAAAGCATGCAACAATTTTTTTTTTTTTAATGAACCTGAGCTTGTGCTGAATCAAGGCTTCCTGTGCATGGTTATTATTAGGGATGAAAAACCACCTCTGTGCCTACTTTCACACAGGAATGATTACTTTCATCAAATGGTTCAAACTCAATTATTGGCTTAGAGGGACCAAACAGTACAACTCTGAAATCTATTTCTATTCTATAATAACCTGGACATATATTCCCGGTGTTATGCCTTGGCTGAAGTGTGACACTGGTTCTCGTGTGACATTAAATACAGTCCTAGATTATTAAGAACAAAAGAAAATGTAAAGGCAACACAAAACCAAAACAAGACTCATATTTCTAGCTAGTCTTTGGTTGTTTACATTTACAGTTTAAATCAGACAAGTTGTTTGCTTAAGTGAAGCATGTACAGGCACATGGGACACATGCATGTGAACATTTGTAGCCTTTAAAGCTCAGGAAGTTTTTCTTCTTTTTACCTCCTGAAGGTTGTCGCGATTTCCGGGGTGACCGGGGTTCTCTCCGGTAAGGATCGTTCGAGCCGTACAGTTCAATGGTGCCGAGGTTGAGCAGCACTGCCTTCTGGAGGTAGTCAACCATTGCGATGCCGTTACAGTTGCCAAAAACCACTCTGGCCAGGGAAGCAGAAGTATCTCAGTGCCAACAAGTTATTAAAAGAAATGTAAAATATAAAGCTGAAGAAAATAGGATGGTGGGCCTTTCAGAAAACTCTTTTCCTATTTATTTTATTTACTATTAGTGTATGAAGTGTGTGTGTGTGTGTGTGTGTGTGTGTGTGTGTGTGTGTGTGTGTGTGTGCATGCGCATGTGCATGCTTACATGTGGCGTTAGAAGATCTGGGGATTCACTTAAGTTGCCCGAAACTAAAGATAAGTGTAGTCAGGGGTATACAGAGTATATAGCCCTTCCCAAGGACCTATTCATGTCTCTGTAGATGTTACCTATATCATTAAATCAAGCATTAGCACTATTTATAAGAATGTTTAATACAGAAGCTGAAGCTTGATCAGAAATACTCCCCCTCTCCCACACACATACAAATACTAAGCGATGTTACATCTATTTTTCTGATCCTAGGAAAATGGAAATATAGGCTGGAGCAAGTTCTGGTAATTCCTCTGTCAAGAATAAAAAGGAAGTATAAGTCTTGGGAGTCTTGGGAGACTCCCTTTGAGGTGTTCAAAATCCTTTTTTCATTACAGTTTAGGAACCACAACCTGACCTCTTGTGCATAAAGGATTCTTACTTTAAGAACTCTTAAGGCAATTGGCAGCTGATATTGAGTCAGCAGGAACAAAAGGACAGGTGACTCTCTATAGTTGCTACTGAAAACAAGACATGGCTGTGCATAATACTTCTGTAATAGAAAGTACAGGGACTGTGTATAAACACTTCTGTAACAGACAGTACATAAGCAGTTTCTTACTGTGATGCTGAGGTTCTAAAAATAAACAAACTATAACAAATGCTTTATATATATACAGGCATATACAGCTCTGTATAGAAGAATACTTTGTGAAAACTACTGCTATACTCTTAGAAATTTTTACAAGTTGACTTTGGAAGCAGAAAAAAAAATGACACAGTTACAGTTCAGAAATACAGAATCTGTTTATAAAATCTTATGTTAGAGTTTCTTAAGAGAAATATGAGAATATTTTTTTTCTGGAGGAACACACAGAGAGTATATACTGACTTTATCTCCAATGAGCATTGGCCACTATTTTCTATCATTAATCACAGTACATACCTCCAAGAATTATTCAAAACAAAACCATGTCCCAAATAAAGCAAAAAATATTGAAATTATAGTTACACAGCAACATTTTGGATGATGCTACAATAAAGCCCAAGTTATTTATACTTTTATATTTAAATGCAAAATTATATAAGATATTCTACAAAGACACTGAGAAAAAAGACAACACACAAAACCACACAGGAAGAACCCTCATACTTACAGTCCATAGGAAGAGTTGAGTGCCAGGCTGGTGATCTGTTGTGGAGGTTCTCCACCCACCCACACCAACTGAATAACTAGCTCTGTCTGATAACCTGGAGACTGTTTAAGTGGTGAGCTTCTGACTCTGAAAAAAGAAAAGGGAAGACACGTTAGCTTTTTAACACATTTCCAATTAGCTGATTGCCCTTCGCACATGAAATTGTACATAGTTACATGAGAATAATTTCACACAGGAAACCACACTAGATTCCCTAAAAGGTAAAAGTTGGAATGTTGTGCTGTACAAGTATTTAGCCTAGCTGTAGAGATGAGCACATGCCAGAGTGCCGATGGTAGGGAAATACCGACAAATTGTGGACATAAAGTGGAGACGGGTACGGAGGAGGGAGAAAGGAAAACAAGTGAGGAAGAAAAGAGGAAAGGAAGAACAAGAACAGGGAAGGGGGCTAAAGAATGAGCAAAAGCAGCAACAGGAAGCCAGAAAGAAAAAAAATAAATGAATGAAAAAATAAAGCTTAAAACCACACACACACACACAAAAAAAAAAAAACACTACAGAAGTCAAAAATAAGTACTAACAACTGGTTTTTGGTTGGTAACTTTTTACCACATAAAACAAAACAAAACAAAGCACTTCTCTATATTTTAAGGTTCATTTGTGGATACATGCTGGACCCAGTAGACTAGGTGGACCAATTAGGAAGTTGTTTTGATTGTTCTGACATGAAATAATATTTTAAAAATAGATTTAGAATATATTATGAGGTAAGACTTGATATAGGTTATAAGTTTTGGGATGGTATAAATCAAAATCATCTAACACTTATTTACTAATTTAACTGTGTGTGCATGATGCACACACATACATGCAAAGAGGGCAATTTGCAGGAGTCAGTCCTTCCCCTCCATCAGACAGGTGCTAGGCACTGAACCCAGGTCATCACTCAGGAAGGTAAGCACCTTTACCTGTTGGGCCATCTCACCAGCTGAGGAAGGCAGAAATCTTGGACTGATTTTAATATTCTGTAACAAAGGAGGTATTCAAGGTTCACTGGATAGGTGAATAAACCAGAGGTTGAATCGAGTCACACGAAGAGAGGAGATATCACAGCAACTCTAGGGCCAAAGTCACTAAATGAACCCATTAGGCACATCAGTAACGAGGGGCTAGTTTCAGAGGAGTATCTGGTACATTTGAGGGGATGGCAGGGATCTATATATTTAGAACTACTTGACTGACAGGTAGTAAATATGCAAACCTAACAAATAATGAATATGTTTGTGCTAAACTTGTATTGGTTAAGTCTATGATATTGGAAAAGTGGGGGAGTAAGGAGTTTATAGAAATATGAGACTTTCTGAGGAATATTTGGATGTAACACTTGCCTTGTCTGTATCAGCAAACTTCATGTGCAATAAATATATTTAAACAATAAGAGCAGTTTTTTTTATTTTTTGTTTTTTCAAAACAGAGTTTCTCTGTGTAGCTTTGGTCCCTGTCCTGGATCTCACTCTGTAGATCAGGCTAGCCTCGAACTCACAGAGATCTGCCTGGCTCTGCCTCCCGAGTGCTGGGATTAAAAGCATGTGCCACCACTGCCCGGCAATTAGAGCAATTTACTTGCATGGGTAGCTACATTTTAAGCTGAGGGTGACTTAGATTGCACAAACTCTTGCAAAGTCCAGTCTTCCAACAATTCTTTGGCTTCTGCCTTGGAATGACAGAGTATAAAGGACAGAAAGAAGACTACTCACTGTTGAACAGCCTGAAACCACACTAGGAGACACGAACACCTTGGAATAATTTTGTTGGTACTTGTGTAGCGACAAGGACTATGACACTTGTTAGCAATGTGCTGACTAAGAAAGGGGTGAGAGTTGGTTGTCAAGACTACTGGGAGAATGAGTCACTGCACACACGTGTAATAGGAACTGAACTGGAGTCACCTCTGCTTACACAACATTTGTAGGCCCTCAGAGCTGTACTCTACTGAGAGAGAGTTTTTGATACTTTTGAGGAAACTGACCAACAACCCCTTCTACTTGCTGGTGTTGAGGAACTAAAATGACAATTGAGGCGTCTTGCCCAAAGGCAGCCTTGACACAAGACAGGCTGAGAGTCCAAATGCAGCTGGCTATTCTTTTCTGAATTAGGCAAGAGGGCAAGCCTCGAGGAAGCACTCCTTGTGCCTGGCATACAGAATGTGCATACTGGATGAGGTTCCAAAGAACAGGAGCAGGTCTTACAGTAGTCATTTTATAAGCATATGAAGGCTACATGTAAGACTTGTGATGATACACAGAACTCCTTGCATGGGACTGAGAGGTGAATCAGCAGTTAGGAGCACTTGATGCTCTTGCAAAGGACCACTGTTCAGTCCACAGGACCTATGCCAGGCAGCTGGCATTGTCTATAATTCCAGCTCCAGGTGATCAAACATCATTTTTTAGACTTCACAGGCATCCATACTCATGTGTACACAGAAACACACAAACACCAACCCACACAATAAATCAAACACAAAATAAATCTTTTCAAAACTTCACTTTGCTGAGAAGTGAAAAAAGTAATTAAGAAAATAACAAACCAGCCGGGCGGTGGTGGCACACGCCTTTAATCCCAACACTTGGGAGGCAGAGCCAGGTGGATCTCTGTGAGTTCGAGGCCAGCCCTGGGCTATCAAATGAGTTCCAGGAGAGGCGCAAAGCTACACAGAGAAACCCTGTCTCAAAAAATCCAAAAAAAAAAAAAAGAAAAAGAAAATAACAAACCAAAAACTCTTCTAAATACTAATCTGATACAAAATCTCTAATTCATATATATATATTTTTTTAAAAGTCCTAGAAACCTGGGCTAGCTGGGGGGGATATTTAGGTAGTAGAATTCTTGCCTTTGTGGAAAATTCAGGTCCACCCCAAGAATAAAAATCAAATGACTAATCAGAAGCCTGGTTAAGAAATAACAGAATGGGACGAATCACCAAGCTGGCTCAGCAAGTTACGGCGCTTGTGGAAAACTCAGACACCTGACCCTGATGCCCGTGACCCACATGTGGAAGGCGAGGATGACTCCCACGATCATTGTGACCGCTGTGCTTGCTGTAGCACGTTCATGTGCCCACGTGTGCATGGTTGTGTGCATGTCCACACCCTCCCCCCACACAAATAAGTAAATGTAATAAAAGAAGAAATGACAGAAGTTAGGTTTTAAAAATAGAAAGTGGGAAGGACTGATAAATTTTTGTCTACAACTGTTAAAGTTATACTTTTAATATTTTAAATATACTCAACTTCCCTACTTGTTAAAGATAAGCTGTAAAACCTTTATTAAAAGTTCCACAATTTGTACAAATACATTTAAAAATGTTAAAATGATATTTGGAAGTGTCACAATTTTAAAACAATTGTTTGGACAAGTTTTTTTGCAAAAGGACACTTACAATAGCTAAGTAAAAAAAATGGATTGGTAAAAGGGACAAATAAAACAGCTTTAAAAATATTTCTCTAAAAAATACTCAATGATGTACCAGAACACTTTGTGCGAAGCAGATGAACTCCTGAGTGAATGTATATTGCTGACATGAGCTGTGCCGTGTTAAGGACCCCGATGCCTCAGACCCATGAGAAGGGCAAGACCTTTCCCTGGTCAGGTGTGGATGCTTAGTACAAGCACTTGAGAAAAACATAGCTTCCTCCTCCTGGAGGACTGCAGCCTGAGACAGCGCCCCACAGAGTCCCCTATGGATATTAGCAGAACCGCATTCTCATGGAGCTGTATGTAAAGCAGAGTGTTCCAGCTGTGGGTGGAATTCGGATCCCAACTTTTCTGTATGTGAGTCTATTGTTTCTTCATTCTTTGTTACCCCCGGCAGCTCATTCCCAAAGCTGTGCAGGTCACAGCAGCCTTGTGCATGAGAAACAAGATCTCGTGATTAATTGTATTTCAACCAATTCTTGTTTTATTTGATCCTTTTAGAAATTTGTCTTTGGGACTGCAGACCAAAACAATATAAAGTTAATCAATACTTGCATTTACCTGAAGATTACTAAAAGGGGCTAAGTAGGGTTTAACTAAAACTCCTTGTAACTCAAATAAATGTCAGGAATAAATACATACAGTTTAGTCAAATGTCCCTAAGATGTGTACTACTTCATTGCTGATAGAATATTCTACTAAAAGATTAGTTTTCTTTCTTTAAAATAGGCCTGAATATGGATTATGACACTCACTGAAACTTAGTTTGTTAATACAGTACTAAAATACTTAAAAAGTATACAAATGTTAATTGTAAAATATGGCTAAGTGAATGAGGCAGGAGGATCATGAGTTCAAGGTCAGCCTGGTCTACAGTGTTAGACATTGTCTCTAAAGAAATGAAACTGCAAAGAAAGGAACTGGCTATTATGCATCTTTATTTTTATATTTTCTCCATACATGCTTGGGTATCCTACTGACAGCCAGAAACCAGTGATCTAAATGACCTGAATTTTATCAGTAGAGTCATTACTTTATGATATACTTTAACATGGTTAATCTATACTTTTTTTTAAAAAAAATCAGGTTTTAAAACTCTATTGCAGTTTAAACTTATGTTTTGATATGCAAATATATCTTACACTAAGATTAGTAGGAATTTCTATTCACTTGGTGAAGAAATAAAAACAAAAACACCAGACATACAAAACTTAGATATAACCCCCACACTAACACACAACCCCTGATGTTCCCACACCTACACCCTGGCTCAATTAAGTCAGCAGAAAAAATTTTCACATAGCCTGATGTTGCTCAGGTAGAAATCTTGATGCTCTCAACACCTACTTTCTACTTCTACCCTGGGCAAGGTGGAGTACCTTATAGATCAAGTAAGAAGGGGAAAATGAGGCATGCTTACTTCCCCTCCCACTGTCTGCACTGGATCAAGTGAGCCCAGGGCCTCTTGTCCTGGTCCTGCTGTATGATCAGGTCAGCCTTCTGAGACAGCTTAGCATCAGCAGACCCACCAGGCTCTCGTGCTAGCTGAAATGACTGGCTTCATCAGACATTAGGGTATTGTCATAAATCATTACTTGGAAAATATTTTATTTATTAATGTGCTGAAGAATATTGATGGGAAAAGAACA